ACTAAAGAATAAAGACAAGGAATGAGAAGGACTTGTATTGAGAAAAGTATGAAGCTTTCCTTGCAGACATAAAAGTGTTCAAATATGGAAATATTTTCAGGTTATATCATGGGAAATGTTAAGAGTAAAAATACCAATATTTCTGATATTGTGTCATCATTAATGCCATTTCAGTAAATGAAAATTGCAATTGAATTTTTAACTGGAAATAATAAATCTAATCTTTACAGGATGGAGGAGGCCAAGTGGACTTACCCCTAGGAGGGGGTAGCGTTCAGAAGTAATTAAGATGGACCAGGGACACTGGCTTTTCTCCTCCCATTGTTCCCCCAAGATTGGGAAATCTTCAGGGAATGGAGTTCATGGACCAATTTGGCTAATTATGAGCTCTGTGCATTAAGCTCTCAAAGCCACACAACTGTAAATAATCAGCCTGTGTCTCCAGCCCTTCAGGTTGCCAGCTCACGTGTAGTGGGCTTCACACCTGTGTCTCCTCCTCCTCGAGTAATAATCTCCAACAGGAAGCCACACCCTAAGTCTGTCTTTCTGCCGTTCCTCAGGACAGACCCTCAGCCATTATTGCTCACTAGATAGGAGAGGGGCAGCAGATTGACCCTGCTTGGTCATGCACCAGCTGAGTCGCAGCCCAGCCCAGTGAGTACCATGGGAGACAGTGGATGGAGGAGGGACTGTGGGAGCATTGTTTCCTCATTGCCAGGACAAGCAGAACAGCTGGGATAGACAGTTGGTGGGGCACGAATATGCAAAGTTTCAGCTCCGAGCTCTATGAAGTTTATGTTCTTGGTTCTGGTGGGCGTGGTCCAAGAACACTTATTCGGAATTCTGCTTTCCTCCCACACTGGTTCTAGCTGGCATAGGCATTACCCCGATGTTAGCAAGAAACAGTCCCTTAAGTGCTCCAAAATCATGGAGTGAGGATGAAGACAGTAAGCATGATATCATGAACCTTCCTCGACGGCTTCCTAAGTGCCAGGCTCTCAGCTAATTGTTCTAGGTAGCTTGTTTGATTTCATCTGCATAATGACTCCCCAAGAAAGAGGAATGCACATTATCATCATTTTACAGATGAATAATGGAACATAGCATTTAAATATAACTTGCATTAGGTCATGGGGTAAAATGGAAGTGAATTCCTGTTTGAATCCAGGCATTCAGACTCCAGACACAGGACACTTAGCCAGTATTCTCTCCTGCCCACCCAACCTGTCATTTCACTTACCTGGAGGTCACTTCACCTGGAGGTAACTCTAGGCAAAGACCCCATGTTCATTGCTGTCTTCCTTTGGGGTTTCCCAGTAGACCTCAGCAGACAGTAATGGGTGACTCTTGCTGCATCGACTATAGGAAGCCATAGCTGAGATCAAGGTGGAGATCATAGAAGGATCAGCAGGTTATAATTTAGGACAGATCTCTCTCTTGCCCACGTCCACTGCCTGTTTCACTCTTGTACTTTAGCGCTTCTCAATCTCTAAAGGAAATGTAAAGTCAGGGTGTTAGTTTCCATTCTTAGTTAGGAAACTGAAATCAGTTAAAAGATGATCTTAGCTGTACTTTTGGTTAAGACCTCTGGAGTTCTGTGTGAAGCTTTCTGAAGTGTAAGGAAACAGAGTGAAGAAGTTTATTGGATGGGCATCAGAGACTGACAATTTAATTTTGTCTGCTCTATTGCACAAAATGGGGCAGGTTCTTAGTATCTCTGAACCTCAGGGCTGCCATCTGGGTTAATCTCTAGTTGATACAACTGCATTTTTGCAAGGATTAAATGATATACTTGATACAGCTGCATTGTTGCAAGGATTAAACAGTATAGAATGTGATTACATATGTAAGGAATGTATATAGAAAAGGCAAAATAAATTTCAGAGATGATTATTATTAATATTAACAGCCTACTTTCTTACTATTTGACTATACTATCCTGTGATCTGAAGGTATGGTTTCTTGAATCGCTGACAGGATATTTTACTTTGTTCTTGTGCAGCTGGATAGTGAGTGTTTGGAGAGAAACAACTGAGTCTCATTCATTTCTGATTCCTCTGAGCCTATACTGTCTTTGGTACAGAATAGGCAACAAAACAAAAAATCTCTGTCAAATATTAAATATACTCTTAGTTCACATGAACATGGAGTAGGCAATCAGGCTCCCACCCACTGGTTGCTTTCCTGCCTGTTCTTTCATCCCTTCCAGCAATATCCCATAGTATGGAGATAAATACAAGTGGGCTGTGTATTTCTATGGCATGGACTTCCTACAACACTATGATTTCCCTTTTATAAGATATACATCATTCAATTGTCAAAAAATTGTGGCAATCTTAATGAAAATTTTAAAGGAGGAAGAAAGAGAAGGGGAGGATAAATCTTACTTTGTGGACTGAGACACTTTTAGAATTTTGCATTTAGGATGTTGAGTCATTCCATGCTCCAATTCCTTGGGACAAGAAAGTCTTTGACCTCTCTGCCATGGAATTAAATAGAAGTCATTAAATGTTTCTTGAGATTAAATTTATCCATTACCTGCTACTGCAATAGTAATTTAATTCTGATTAAAATACCCTAACTGAATATTAAATTTCTGAGGATATATTATTCTCACCATTTGTAGGGAAGAATTGCCATCACAAAGAGATTGAGATATTGATACACATTTCAAATTTAGTGTGTGAAAGATGTGGGATTTAGACTTTCATCTTCTGACTCCTGCCCTAGGACTCTGCTACTTCCGCTGGAGTGGAATGAACTTTTTTTTTTCTAGCCTGCTTTGTCCCAGGTGAGCAAACAGAGGCAGAAGCTTTCATTTCACCCCTTGGGAATCAGTGCGGACATCTGTGAAACGGGAATGGGCCAAGTGGTTCGTAGGAGTCTTTCTGGCATGAATATTGTGGTTCATAGTGTTTTCTGTGAATAGTAATGGTTTTTCCATCCCACTTCAGAAACCTGAAATATGCAAATATTATTTCCTCTACAAGTTGAGAATTTCATGTGTGTTATCACGGAATGACTATTACTAGACAGACTTGAGGGATATTCCTAATTCTGTATCTCAGAAGTAAGAGCAGATACTTGATTGTGTCTGATTTTTTTTTATCAGGAAGAAACATGGGCAACTAATAGTAAAATTCAATGTGTACTGATTTTTGCCATGAAAACATCTATGCTTCATATACATATATATATATATATGTATCTTTTAAATATTCTCACTTGTGTGATATGGATATGTAAAGGAATTTGCATAGGATTGTCGTAATAAGGAACTGAAGAATAAAATGAAGTCTCTCCCTCTAGCAGTACTATGCTTCAGGTAAAATGTTTGAATTAGATGTATGTCCTTCACAGAAAGACTTAAAACATAAAGTTTTAATGAGAATATTTCAGGGATAATGTGTATAGTATGATACTTTTCACCTAAGTTTTCAGGAAGACTATTTATGGATACAAAACCAAGGCTAACATCCTGGAAACACTGGCAGGAAAGTATACCAGCTAAATCATGACAGTGGTCGACTTTGTGGGACAGGTATGCAAGAGAAGATGAGAGGATAGCAAGAAAACAAAGTTTATTGGTAATATTTCAAATCTCTGTAAAATATAAGTTCTGAAGCAAATACTACTGAATGTTCACATTTTTAATATGGTGAATGGGTAATAATGATAGTAATAACACATAACAATGGAGCATTTACTGAGTGTCTGGGAATATTCTCAGGCGATTGTTCCCAACTCTGGCTGTGCATTAGAATCGTCAACGGACTCACGTGTAGAGATTCTGACTTAAGTGGTTTTAGGATGGAGCCAGGCCATCAGTATGTTTTAAAAGATCCACAGGTAATTATAATGGTTAATCAGAGGTGGGAACCACTGGTCTAAGCACTTTATATTTAATTTCTTACAACAATCCTATAATATAGGTTCTATTTTTATCTCCATTTTATAGATGAAAAAACAATTCAGGCTTTTGTTACATTCTTTTCTGTAGTTTCTTCTTTTGCATTTTTCTCAAATTAAATCAATTACCTACCAGGAGAAAGGAAGACCTGAGTTGCTGATGTAAGGAGAATTGGAATCCCTATTATCCAGAAGGACTGACGTGAAAAGTTCTTAACAAGGCTTAAGAAGACTGGGTTTCAGACGTAGCTTTGGGACTTCCCCTGGTTGTAAAACCTCAACTGTAAATAAGAGGATTGATTTGACAAGGAAACGATGCTTCACAGGTTTTGGAATTAGAAACGTGTTTGAACACTTTTATCAAGCTACTACAAGATGGAGAGAAGAAAAGCAAACAGCAGTCTCAAACACTAAGCCTGTCCCTGAGGTTGTGTAGCATTGATACAAATAACTTTGCATAAAAAGCCTGGTGTTAAGATTTGAAGACTTTTAAAAGACAACCCACATATTTGAGGGAACTCTTATTTCCATTGAGGATGGATATAAGAAAACCAAATAATTATGAAAATCTGGGAAGATAATTACATCAAAATTCTAACTGATTAAATACATTTGACTTTAATTTAGAATATAAATGTTATTGAGTGTTTATAAATATCCCAAGTTAAGGGAATTTCTTGCTCTGAATTTGGATAAATTAAACTATATTTGACTGCTTCCTAGTGTCTTTTATTTGGAGTGGTTTTTTTTTTTTTTTTTTTTTTTGAGGGAGAAAGATATTTTGTATTCCATATGTTTCCTTCAATGGAGGGGACTGATATTTTACTGTGTTCATCAATTTATTAACTATAAATTGGCTTGATCCTTGATCACACTTTGGCAGTGTGTTTCTAAAGTGGGTATATATAGAAAAAGGTAAATAACTGAGAAATCAATGAGGAAAGTGTTCTGAGAGGAAATGAGAAATATTGCTGAAGGTACTGGAGTATATGGCTCTCAAGTGTGACTGCTTTACTTTGATTTGCTTGATTCCAAAATAAGGATACAGCACTGGCTGTCTGTTTGCTTGTTTCATTTATCCTGAGCCTCTTTTCATTTCTAGGAGGTGTCTCAGTCACATGGGACCAAAGAATCTAACACGTGTCTCAGAATTCCTCCTCATGGGCCTCTCAGATGACCTGGAACTCCAGCCTCTCCTCTTCGGCCTGTTCCTGTCCATGTATCTGGTCACTGTGCTTGGGAACCTACTCATCATCCTGACCATCAGCTCTGACTCCCACCTCCACACCCCCATGTACTTCTTCCTCTCCAACCTGTCCGTGGCTGACATTGGTTTCACCTCCACCACAATCCCCAAGATGATGGTGGACATCCACACTCACAGCAGAGTCATCTCCTATGTGGGCTGCCTGACTCAGATGTCTTTTTTTACTCTTTTTGGATGTTTGGACAGTCTCCTCCTGAATGTGATGGCCTATGACCGATTTGTGGCCATCTGCCGCCCCTTGCACTACCTGGTCATCATGAACCCCTGCCTCTGTGGTCTGCTGGTTTTGGTATCTTTTTTCATCAGTCTTTTGTACTCTCATCTGCACAGTTTGATTGTGTCACAACTTACCTTCTTCATGGATGTGGAAATCCCACATTTCTTTTGTGACCCTTCTCAGCTATTCAACCTTGCCTGTTTTGAAATCCCCATCAGTAACATATTAATGTATTTTATTGCTGCTATTTTTGGTGGTGTTCCACTCACAGGGATCCTTTTCTCTTACTATAAAATTGTTTCCTCCATTCTGAGAGTCCCCTCAGCAGGTGGGAAGTACAAGGCCTTCTCCACCTGTGGCTCTCATCTGTCTGTTGTTTGCTTATTTTATGGAACAGGACTTGGTGTATACCTCAGTTCTGCTGTCTCACATTCCCCCAGGAAGGATTCTGTGGCCTCAGTGATATACACTGTGGTCACCCCCATGCTGAACCCCTTCATCTATAGCCTGAGGAACAGGGACATCAAGACAGCCATGCAGAGGCTCCTCAGAAGAACAGTGTAATCTCAGTACGTGCACCATCTTTTTCAGTGTGTGGGTTGGAAGAGCCAGTAAATCCAAACAGCTGGAATTCGTAATTATGCACATTTGGTTTCACGATTTTTCCAGCTTTTGTGCCTTTCACTCTTCTCAGTGTTTCATATCGTCATTTGGTACATCTTTAATGGCCTTAAGGGAGTATTGTTGGATACTGTCCTCATTATAACAACTGCCATGGAATTAAATTATCATATTACAGCTATACAGTCTTCATTATTTCTCATCTATAAACCAGGCATCCTGGAGAAATGCACAGTACTTTTTAAAATATTTAATAATCCTTGACACTTTCCAAAATTCATGTCTGTTTCCCACAGAACTTTTGTATCTTTCAGACCTGTCTCTGTGTGTTATGTGTAAGGATGCATGCAACTGGTCTTCAAATTTGGCTTCATATTGGAGTCATCTGGAGATCTTTAAAATAATGATAATTGCCTCTCACCACAGATTATAATTGAATTGGACTGAGGTGTAGCCTTAGTATGAGGATTTAAAAATCATCCAGTTGATTTTCACGTATAACCAAGGTTGGCAATGACTGATTGAATCACATGTTTCATTCAAAAATGACTAGTATGTTTGGATCTTTCACTGCTCCTGAGCGGACACTGAAGTTGTTAAGGTCATCCTAGCTCACAAGAGGAGTGGTATGAAAAAGTTTGCCTTTGCAACAGGCACTGTGATTTTTTCCAACATTCTTGATATTTCTTTACATACATTCAGCTTCCATACCATACAACTAGTCATCTGTGCTGGTTAATAAGATATTGTCACCTTTCTCCAAACCCACCCTTCTATACTTTACTTCAGCAAAGGGTGGCTCTTTCCTTTCACTAGTAACAGTATCTTTAGGACTTCGCTTTGAAACTATTCTTCCCTGTCTTTTGTTCTGATGAATCTTTCAGCTCTCATCTGTGTCTACGATATGGGTATCCATGTTTCTTTTAGAGATGTTGCAGAGTTTCTGAGGCAGTGACCTGGTGCTCTCTGAAAACCAGCCTTCTAACTAGTTTAATTTACTTGGCCTTTTGCCTTAAGCTCAATCATCTACCAACTTCACTGATCAGAAACTTTGATACTGGAGAAGGAAATGCTCTTTACGGAGGATGAAGCCATACCAGCCAGTGAGAAGAGATACTTCCCATTAAAAAAATGACTAAATTAGGGTTTTGATTCCCTGGTTTTCATGAGACAGTTTGGATCTGATCTACTCTGGAACAATGAATAAGCTTTGTCTCTATTTTTGAAAACCTAAGTAATGGGCAAAAGCCTATGGAATTTGCCAAGGTGATTGTGTTGGTTAATTTTATATGTCAATGTGGCTGTGCCATGGTGCCCAGACATTTGGTCAAACATTATTCTGGATGTTTCTGTGAAAGTGTTTTCTGGCTGAGATTAATGTTTAGATGGGTGAACTTTGAATAAAGCAGATGACTCTTTCTAATATGGGTGGGCCTTGTCTAATCAGATGAAGGCCTTAATAGAACAAAGACTGACCTCCTGGAAGAAGAAGAAATCCTGCCAGCAGACTGCATTTGGACTTGAACTGCAACTCTTCCCTGAATCTGGCCTACCCTGCAAAATTGTGTTTACCAAGCCTCCACAAACACCTGAGCCAATTTCTTAGAATAAATATCTCTGTATTTATATGTTTATTCATATCCAGTTGGTTCAGTTTCTCTGGAAATCCCTGACTAATACAGTAATGTTGCCTTTTGATATCTCATTTTATATTCTCCCCAGTGGTAATACTTTCTTTTTCCTCTTTAAACTTCAACATTTAGAATGAGTGCTGCTAATCGATTAGCACTGTGCATGAGGGGAAAGCCTGGTTGGAAATAAGGCCCACAGTAACTATATAGGAGTGAGGCTACTATCCTTGATATGAGAGAGGTATCACAGATAATAGAAAGGGTGTGGAATTTGAAAACACAGCTTCACATAGATCTTGGTGAAAATTTGAGACCTGTGTCAACTCAGTGCCCTTCAGATTCATGATCAGTAAAAAGGAAACCTACGAAATGGGAGAAAACATTTGCAAACCATATGTTTGATAATTTGATAAACTCCAAAATATATAAGGAGCTCCTACAACTCAATAGTAAAAAAACTAATAACCTAGATTATTAAAAAATGGGGAAGACTCAAATAAACATTTTTCTGAAGAAGACATACAGATGCCTAACAGGTATATGAAAAGGTTCTCAACATCGTTATTCATTGGGGAAATGCAAATCAGAACCACCTTGAGATCACATCACACTTGTCAGAGTCGCTATTATAAAAAAGAAAAAAAGTGTTGGCAAGGATGTGGAGAAACTAGAATGCTTGAACACTGTTGGTGTAAATAGAAAAAATCTTATCCACTATGGAAAACAGTATGGAGTTTCCTCAGGAAATTAAAAATAGAACTGATTTATCATCCAGCAATCCCATTTCTTGGTATTTGCCCAAAAGAATTGAAATCAAGACCTTAAAGTGATAGTAGCACTTCTACATACATTGCAGCACTATTCACAATGGCCAAGACCTGGGACGAACCTAAATGTCCATTGATAGATGAAGGAATAAAGGAAATATGATCGTATATATGTATGAAAAGATTATATATATAAGAGAATACTCTTGCGCTGAAAAGCAGAAAAAATCTTGCCATTTGCAACAACATGGATGAACCTTAATGGTATTATGCTAAGTGAAATAAGCAATCACGGAAAGACAAATATTACATGCTTCCACTTACAAGATGTGTGTGCCAGGGACTGACAGGAGAGAGAAGTGGAGAATTACTAATCAAAGGGCATAAAATTTCAGTCAAGCAAGTTGAGTAAGCTCTAGAGATCTGCTGTAGAACATTGTACCTATAGTCAACAATAATATGTGAACACTTCAAAATTTGTTGATAGGGTAGATCTCATGTTAAATGATCTTTCCACTATATATATAATATTATTATATTATTAGTTATGTATATAGTAGTTGTCCTTAGAGACACAAATATTAACTGAGAAAATGGAAATATTGTCATATTCTTGATATGGAAGACCTAATTCTCCATCAATTTCTTGGTCATTTGAGTACATTTGATGATAATAAACTCACATGTTGATGTATGTTAATTTAAAACACGCGTCTGAATTTTTTATTAAGATGCATGAAACTTGAAAGTCAGAAGGAAGAGTACAGGCGAGATTCCTCCTGAGACATAGAAGGTTCAGATCCTATAAGGGACCTTTACGTTTCCTATGATCCTGTTCTATTAATCTTAACAAGTCCTCAGAGATTGTGATGATGTGGACCAATTCGGCTAATTGCAAGCTCTGTGCGTCGGTCTCTCAAGCCCACACAACTGTAAATAATCCCCTGTGTCTGGAACCTTTCAGTGTACTGCTGGTCCCAGTACAGTTCGATCTGTATGTGTGTCTTCTCTTCCCAGAGTTATTGTGTGCATCCAGGAGTCCATCCCTGACTCTGTCGTCCTGCCCTTGCTGAGAACGGAGCCTGAGCCTTCATCACTCAACAGGTATGGGAAGAGCGATGGATCATCAATCCTTTGCCACGCCGCAGCATAGAGGCAGTGCAGTCCAGTGAGTGCCCTTGGAGATACTGCGTACAGCAGGGACTCGTGGAGCATTGTTTCTTTATCATCAGGATGGGTAGGACAGTTGTTGTAGCTAGATGGGAGGGCAGCAATATGCAGTTTCACCTCAGAGGCCCATGAAGTTTCTGTTCTTGGTTCTGGTGGGGATCTGGGGACTCTCATTCAGAGTTCTGCTTTCCTCCCACTCTGGTTCCAGACCCGATAGGCATGTCTCTCACTGGAGCAGGAAATGAGTCCCTATAAACTATCCCCTAAGCACCCCAAAATGATCATGAAGGTGATGTTGAAGAAGAGTGGGAGATGATGCCCCTGTACATGATATTGTGAACATTTATCAAAGATTCTCAAGTGCTAGGCTCTGAACTAAGTGCTCCACATGGCTTGTTTCATTTCATCTGCATAGTCACAACTAAGATATATGTACACGTTATTGTTCTTTTACAGATGAGGACAAGATTCTAGACTTTTAATGTAGCTTGATCTGAGATAGAATGGGATGAAGCCAGGTTTCAGTCAAACAGTCTGACTCCAGACAGAGGTTTCCTGGCCAGAATTCTCCCCCTGCCAACCCAAAAGCCATGTCCCTTCTATGTTCATTTCACACAGACACCCTCTGTTCCTTGTGCTCTTCTCCTTGGAGGTGGCACGTGCTGCCTGAACTATAGGAAGGATGGCTGAGATCACAGGCAGGCATCACAGAAAGAACTGGCTCATGACAATTTAGAGTAGGTCTCTCTCTTGTTTCTACTCCTGGATTTTGCCTTAGCTGTCCACTTCATTTTCCATTCTTGTGATTTTACACTTATCCATTTCAAAGGGAGATATAACATCAAGCATGCCAGATCTATCCATACTCAGGAAACAAGAAACTATTAAAAGATGTACAATATATGTGTCATTTTTTAAGTCCTGTGAATCACTGCTTTAAACGTTCTGAATTTTAAAAGATGAGGACATTAACTTCATGTGCCTCAGAGATCCATAATGTAATTTTGCTCTACTTTTTATCTAGTGACTTGGAGCAAGTTCTTAGTATCACTGAGCCTCAACATTGTCATCTGAGTTGATTCCTGGTTGATAGCACTCCATCGAGTAAGGACTAAATAGATAATAGTACTATCTATGTGATTAAATATGTGATGGATACATATAAGGGCAAAAAACTTAGATATTATTATTATTAATATTGATAACACTAAACTTCATTCATACCATTCAACCAAAATATTAGGTGATCTGATGGTTTGGTTTTCAAAGGATAGCTGACAGAACATTTTATTTTTGTCCCTATACAAATAGATATTGAGTACTTGGAAGGAAACAACTGAGTCACATTCACCTCTGATTCCCCAGATCTTACATCATCTTTGGCACAGAGTAGGCAACAACAACAAAAAACCCTAAAATATGTTAGATATTGAGTAGACTCTTTTTTGGTTCAAGAAACAGAGCATAGACATTACAACTCGTACAACTGAAGCATTCTTGCCTGTGCCTTCATCCATTTCAGAGATGTCCCAGAGGACAAGAGACAAGATAAAATAGCACTTGTTTGTGTGTATGTCATAGACATTCAATAAGATATATTACTTTCCATAGCATCTACAACATTCAGTTATTCAAAAACCATCACAATGATTTTCATAAATATGAAAAAGAAGTGGCAGAATGAGAACAGGAAGGTACATTTTGTTGTGTGAGCTGAGACACATTTTAGGATTTCTAGCGTCCTGAGACAAGAGAGCCTTCAGATTCTCTGCTGTATAAATGAAGTAGGCATAAGAAGGCTGGATTTCAGACCTGGTTTGGAGGTCTTCCATGTTCCTAAATTCGATTGTAAATAAGAAAGCTGGATTTGAGGAGGACACTATACTTCCAAATGTTTACGATAAAAAATAAATGTAAGCACTTTTACCAAGCCACTACAAAATGCAGACCAAAAAAAAAAAAAAAACCAAAAAAAGAGCAGTGTCAAACATCAGGCATTTCCCTAGGTTACATAGAGTTGATATATAATCCTGCATAAGATGAGAAATTGGAAGAAACTATTTTTTTAAAAAGTTAATTATTGTTGAATGATTGAGAACTGTACTGTACACTGATACTATCATTGGGGGTCAATGCTGCTGTATGATTTTGTGCATTTACCAAAATATTATTTATCAAAATTTGAAGTCTACCAGCCAAGGATAGAAGTTATATTTGAAAAGATTTTCCCCTAGTTTTATTGAGATATAATTGACATACAGTACTGTATAAGTAAGATGTGCATCATAATAATTTGACCTACATATATTGTGAAATGACTATCACAATAGGTTTAGTTAGCACCATCATCTCACATAGAGACAAAAAAAAAAAAGAAGAAAAATGTTTTTTTTTCCTTATGATGAGAACTTTTAGGATTTACGCCCCTAACAACTTTCAAATATACCATAAGGCAGTGTTGACTATAGCCATCATGTTGTACAGCCCATCCCCAACACTTATTTATCTTGTAACTGGAGGTTTGTATCTTTTGATCACTTTCATCCAATCCCCCCACCACCTAACCCCTACCTCTGGTAACCACAAATCTGATCTCTTTTTCTATAAGTTTGTTTTTTTTAGATTCCACATATAAGTGAGATCATACAATATTTGTCATTCTCTGTCTGACTTATTTCACTTAGCCTAATGCTCTTAAGGTCTGTCCATGTTGTTGCAAATGACAGGATTTCATCCTTCTTTATGGCTGAATAATATTCTGTTGTATATGTCACGTGTATATCACATTTTCTTCACCCACACATCTATCAATGGACACAGTTTGTTTCAATGTCTTGGATATCATAAATAATGCTTCTATGACCATGAGGGTGCAATATCTCTTCAACATAGGGATTTGCTTCCTTCGGATGTACTCCCAGAAGTGGAATTCCTGGATCATATGGTGGTGTTGACTTTTTTGTGTAACCTCCATACTGCTTTCCATAGCAGATATACCAATTTGCAATCCCACAAACAGTGCACCAGTGTTCCCTTGAAAAGCCTTTTAAAGACAACCGACATATCTGAGTGAGCACATATTTCCATGGAGGAGAGCAATCAGAAAACCAAAGAATGATGAAAAACCAGGAAGATAACTGGGACATAAAAAAGTCTTCCTGATTATGAATATTTGAC